GAGATGAAGCTGGAACAGTTTGATGTTGTAAAGTTCATTTCTCGTGGGTCCTACTCCATTGTCTATGAGGCAGTCTACACACAGGGTGCTGACAACACCACCACCATCACCACCCAGACGTCTGCATTGAAGCGTGTTTTTCTGCAAAACCACGCCGCTATTCAATGTGCTCTTCGAGAACACCACATCCTCGTGCGTCTCGCTCAAGCGGGAGAACAATCATCATTTCTGGGCACTCTAATTCAAAGTTTTCGAATTTGCAGCTCTCCGACCTTTGTGATGCGTAAGGGAAGTGGCTTTGATCTGCAGGATGTGCTCGCAAATGTTGGCTTTCTCGGTGGGAAGGCTGCACGGTTTTATAGCTGCGAGATTATTTGTGGTCTGGAGCACCTTCACGCCATGCGTATCGTCAACTTAGACGTCAAACCCGCCAATATGCTTCTCTCAGATTCAGGCCACCTCTTTATCACGGATTTTGATCGCTCCTATGACATGAGTTGGGAGTCAGGACCCCCCAATAAGGCAGACTTCACTGCAACGCCCTTCTTCATGGCACCGGAGGTGAAAGCTAGAGTGGAAATCACCACGAAGGCGGATGTATGGAGCCTGGGCATTCTCATGGGCTGCATCATGTATGGATCCGTCACTGTGGAAAATTGGCTGAGCAATGGTCGCCACAGAGAAGGTCGTTTTCCAAAACTGTCCAAACCTCTACAGGACTTCTTCAAAGCCTGTCTCACACACGACCACAGAAGGCGTGTGGACATTGCCGGCGTCAAGTGTCTCGAATTGTACGAAGGCGTCAACTGGGAGGAGGTGAGGGTCTGTAACATGGAACCACCCTATCACCCTTCCGAGTTGCATCTCTCTGCTGCTTTGAAAGAATTCAACCTCGATCCTCACGACCCTCTGCTTCTCGAAGCCGCTTACGACACGAGCATGCCGCTGATCGACCGATGTCTTCGAGATACGCATGACGAGTGTAGAGTGCGTCGGTTGATCACAATACCACCAGACTACAAGAACCTGGCAAGAGCTGGCATGACACCCGAGAGGATTGATGGACTCTTCGCCAACTTCGACTTCAACAATCATCACATCCAATCCTCCGAAGCAGTCGATAAGAAGCAGACCATCAGCGCTGATGAAAACGTGTAATTCGAGTTAGGGCTGGGTGAAGTAGAAGGCTCTTTATCTCCACTGTGACGCAGTGCGTGACGCGGATGTGCCTTTCCGCCTGATGTGTCCGGGTAGAGGATGGATGCTTCACCTGCAATGGTGTGGCGAGTACCTCGTCTAATCTACCGTCACTGTGGACCCAACAATTTGGCCAGCGTGTTTTTCTGCAAAACCACGCCGCTATTCAATGTGCTCTTCGAGAACACCACATCCTCGTGCGTCTCGCTCAAGCGGGAGAACAATCATCATTTCTGGGCACTCTAATTCAAAGTTTTCGAATTTGCAGCTCTCCGACCTTTGTGATGCGTAAGGGAAGTGGCTTTGATCTGCAGGATGTGCTCGCAAATGTTGGCTTTCTCGGTGGGAAGGCTGCACGGTTTTATAGCTGCGAGATTATTTGTGGTCTGGAGCACCTTCACGCCATGCGTATCGTCAACTTAGACGTCAAACCCGCCAATATGCTTCTCTCAGATTCAGGCCACCTCTTTATCACGGATTTTGATCGCTCCTATGACATGAGTTGGGAGTCAGGACCCCCCAATAAGGCAGACTTCACTGCAACGCCCTTCTTCATGGCACCGGAGGTGAAAGCTAGAGTGGAAATCACCACGAAGGCGGATGTATGGAGCCTGGGCATTCTCATGGGCTGCATCATGTATGGATCCGTCACTGTGGAAAATTGGCTGAGCAATGGTCGCCACAGAGAAGGTCGTTTTCCAAAACTGTCCAAACCTCTACAGGACTTCTTCAAAGCCTGTCTCACACACGACCACAGAAGGCGTGTGGACATTGCCGGCGTCAAGTGTCTCGAATTGTACGAAGGCGTCAACTGGGAGGAGGTGAGGGTCTGTAACATGGAACCACCCTATCACCCTTCCGAGTTGCATCTCTCTGCTGCTTTGAAAGAATTCAACCTCGATCCTCACGACCCTCTGCTTCTCGAAGCCGCTTACGACACGAGCATGCCGCTGATCGACCGATGTCTTCGAGATACGCATGACGAGTGTAGAGTGCGTCGGTTGATCACAATACCACCAGACTACAAGAACCTGGCAAGAGCTGGCATGACACCCGAGAGGATTGATGGACTCTTCGCCAACTTCGACTTCAACAATCATCACATCCAATCCTCCGAAGCAGTCGATAAGAAGCAGACCATCAGCGCTGATGAAAACGTGTAATTCGAGTTAGGGCTGGGTGAAGTAGAAGGCTCTTTATCTCCACTGTGACGCAGTGCGTGACGCGGATGTGCCTTTCCGCCTGATGTGTCCGGGTAGAGGATGGATGCTTCACCTGCAATGGTGTGGCGAGTACCTCGTCTAATCTACCGTCACTGTGGACCCAACAATTTGGCC